CCTGATGGAGGAGCCCATGCTAGGCATAGCTGATACCAACTGCACAGGCCTAGTCTGTCACTTTATTTGACTAAATGTGTTTACTTATTCATTTAATAGGTTTACACCATAGACTGTATTGTTTACACCTTCTGTCCATATGTGCTTTTTATTTAAAGGGGACCTATCATGCAAAATGCACCTTTGGACGTCTTTTATACATGAATATGTGTCCCCGGTGTTCCAGAGAACTCACCAAGTGTCAGAAAACACAACCCTCTCTATTTTCCTCCTTCGCCAAATCTCTAAAAAAGTGGCTGAAACGGATCTGAAAAAAACGGATCCAGATTTCAACACTTTCCTACGTCACAAAGAGACGTGCTCCGCTTATTGGTCAACTCTCCACCTATCAGGGGAATGAGCCACGGCCACGTGCATTGCCGGGATCAATACCAACCATCCGGGAGCAGGCCAGTGAGGACACATCCAATTTTGAAGCTGTAAGTTTTTATTTAGCTGTGTTTTTCCTGATAAAGCTATCTCTAGCTTGTAGTATGTAGCATGTAGCATGTAGCTTCGCCGTATCAATGTCGCCTCAAACCCAAATAGTAATCGGTTAGGTGTTTATATGTTTTTATAACATTTTATATTGTACGCTCCGCAGTCTTTGCTTTGTCTTTTATTTTAATTATCAGGCATTTGCTAACATGTTCAGACATACTGCAGTAATGGCGATCTGTGTGAAGGCTGTAAAGCCACGCCCTAGCCGATAACACATGTATTTATTCTCCTATTTATTAGTATTTTGTATCCTCTAAAATCATATTGAGTAAGTTATAATAACAAACGTAATCTTCTGTAGGTAAGTGCCGTTTTTTGCAGCGTTATATGTAAAAGCTTTTGTGATTGTAGTCTGTAAGAACGATCAGATCTGTAAGCTAAGCTACGCTACGCTAATGAGACATGCCGTTTTTTGCAGCGTTATATGTAAAAGCTTTTGTATGTTTACTTGTTTACGCACATGAATATAAATGGGGGTGTGTGAGGATACAACACTGTGTGTATGTATGCGAGGGGACACACACACCACGAGTAAAACAGAACTAAAGCCCCGTTGGTCTGTTGTTGTTGACGAGGCCTTACCTAGCAACAGGCTAATTAGTGGCTAGCACTCATTACAGTCAGTCTACTGAGCTCAGCCCCTCTCCAACACATCATCTGTATTGAGTCAGAAACACAGCATGCACGTTACGGTTCAAAACTAACTCAGATTGGAAAAGGCTAAGCAAAGAGCTTTGCTAAATAGAGAGTTTTAAGCCCCATCTTTTGGGATTTCAGACTATATTTATCCAAATAGTATTTTCTCATCCTGAATACTAAATTGAGATGATTTTGTTCTAACTATGTTTTCTTCTTTACAGGCCAGCACCTCACATACTTACTAATTAGTGACAATTTGTACATCCTTTGCTATTATTTACATTTTTTTTTATCATGGCAGAAATGAAAGACTGTACCTGGCAGCCCTGCACTACAATGAAAACGCTGAGCGTGCACAAGCCACTACATCCACTGGAAACCCTCTGTATAAACTGCAGTTCCCAAAGGCCAGGAAGGGAGAATGCAGAGCAAAACCAGTAAAGACTGACCCCACATTCCGTAAGTGTTTAAAATATTTATTATACAACTATTTACAAATATAAAATTAGAAAGAACTTTCAGTTTTTTACATGCATATACTAATCTAAACCACATTTTTTGTTGTGCTTTTTTTTAAACATTGCACAGGCTACGTGGCCAACTTGATGGACCTCATCTTCGACCAAGTCTTTGTGGACCCTGCACCATTATGAGCGACCTGACAGGGACGAGGTCATCGCCGGGTATGCTACACGGTTCAATTTGGCTGCTGTCTGAAACCCAACATCGACATTTTGCGGATCAGGAAACTCCTGCCTCCCTGAGGACAACGCAGGCCGGAATCACCACTCTGATCCTGCGTCCAAGGAAGCCCCAGCACCAGCTCACAAAGCTTCTGTAGGCTAGATACCTGTGACGCCTGAAATCATTAAAAAAAATATTTAGTGTAATTTATACAAAATACAAGTACATTTCGTTTTTTTTTTATGGGTTCAAAGAACCGTTGATTTTGACAATAAAGTTCCGAGTTGATATCAAATGTGTCGTGATTATTCATGTTTGGATGGGTAAAGAATATTCTGATTTCAAAAGCATAAGGTTGTGTGTGGACTTTTTTTGTCGTACACATGGGTGTGTTATGCCATTGCTGTGTAATAATATATATATATATAATAGTACATGTACAATGAAAGATTGCATAAAGCCATATACACCAGTATTTATTTCCATGAACAATATTAGCATTCGTTTTACAATTTCAGTCAAAAGAAACAAACCACTCACTGCTCTATTTGCCTCAACTGTAGTCCACCATGTTCAGCTCTGTAAATATTCAATGCATTCTGCAGGGAGAACACATTCAGGCACACAGGCTCCAATCCAGGATGGTCCACCATACAGGTTACAGAGTCCTCAAGTTCCTGAATCCGTCTTGACACCTAGTGTGATAAACATATTGAATGACATGTTAAAAATGTATTCTCTAAACAGACAACTTAGTGAAGCTATCAAAAATGTTACCTGTGGTATCTCCATGCAGCACACATTCTCCGTTCAGAAGGCATCGTGCCGCAATTTGCACATGTACACCTGTAGAAAGAAGTCAATAACTGAGCTTTTAAAAACACATGAAACTACACACACTGCTGACAACTGAGGTGTTGTTGGAGTTATACTTTTTATCACTCTAAGTTATTGAACTTTCCAACGGTTGTTGCACGATGTTGGAAGAAAAGGGGTGTAAACTATTAATAAACGCAATGAGGCCATTGTATATATGCTGAAAATATGAATGTCTCCCTTTATAAATATATATATGTATCGCTGTTTTTGCGTTACAAGCTCTAAGTTATAAACTGTACACATAGCATTCTTGCTAATTAGCCAAAATATAAACGGAATAAGTAGCAATCATCGTAACAGAGTAAAATAAATAGGAACAACAGCTTGTCAACTAACCATTCAGAAACGTCCTGCTGCAACCGAGATCTTTGCACCTCCACCAAAACCTCCGCTGCTTCAGGGTCAATCTCTGGATCAAATTGATAATACGCTTGAACACATGCATTGCTTTGAGATGACATGTTTATTCCACACTCATAATCACAGAAAGCATGGTAACGTGACTCTCGCCGGCGCATGCCCCGCTCTTCTGCAGGGGGGCGTGGTCAGCTGCTGCTCAGAATTTTCAAAGACAGGCTTGGAAAAGAGCGAAAATGAGCGAAACGAGGCATGGCTAAAAAATGATCTGTTTGGTATTTTGAAAAATAAAATGTATAAATATACCTTATATAGGTATGGTCATACACTATATCATTTAAATATAGCATGATAGGTCTCCTTTAAAACATGTTGATTAACTTTTGGTTCACATTTCAATAAATTGTATTTGTATTTGCACTCCTTTTGTCCATTATTCTTACTGAAAATGTTAGATTACACATTCACATCTGACTGAAGATTGGCCCCATTTATTTGTGACGTTGCAAACTAAACTCTGCGGTACAAGGCACAAGTGATGTGAAGCTCATAAAGTGAGCCAAATAGAAATAATCAGCTGATGGAGTGTAGATGTAGAAACAGGTGCATTCGATCAGCTGACTGTGTTTTCACAATAAAAGTAGTTTCTTAGTGAATGTCATGTACTGGTCTTAAAATCTCATAACATCAGCTTTTAATTTTCCTCTTGGATGTTCTTCTTGACCCTCAGAGAAGGAGAAAATGTTGAGTCGTGTCTTTCAGGCATGTCCTTTCCTAACAAAAATTACAGGAAACATAAAACATATTATTATTAATACAAGTGTGTTATTTATGAAAGAGGTGTGTTTGTGTGTTTAGGGGCTGTAGATATAATTATTTTGTAATGTTTTTTATTTATTTCAACAGTGAGCTACAAAGACAATCAGATTATGAATGAACAGTATGAAGTTCATTAACATTGAAATATATTTATTATCAAAATAATATTTAACCATTATCAAAACGTAGTGCAACTGTAGAAGCTTGCTCTGTTGTCTCACTGAAAGAATAACTTTTACCACGTTTTTTAAAGACAATATTGAGAGATAAATAGTAGCAGTTCTCACTATGTGTTAAATATCTTTGCCTTTAATACATTAAATTAGAAAGCTGACAGTCATATTGCTTGTTAACATCTAAATGTAACTTTTTGCATGGAAAAAACCCTCAACTTAACTGATGTGTAGGTGATCAAGTATTTAGTATTGTTTAATGGAATGTATATCAGTGTATTAAAGTCAATACTTTATTTATTTAAACCAATATTATTGATTATTTGTACAGTATGAAACAAAGACTCTTTATGCCTGTGCTGAAGTTCACTGCTGTGAGGAGTCCAGTTCTGTCTCTCACTCTCCGGCTCTTCCCCAGAGTTTGCCGCTTGGTTAATAGGATTAAATAGGTCTAAATACAGTCTATGGTAAATACGTGGGCGCGCGGCCCTCGTAAGAGTGGCCGCGGTGCGTTCAGGGACCTCCGCATGAGAACGGTGGTTTACGTTGGTAGAAGTCATTTGTGTGTGGCAAAATGCATTCAGTAAAAACGATTGCATTTATCCCAGAGTAAGTCATCTCTCTCCACAATTACACTTTTCCCCATAATGTCCGTTTCAAAGAGACGGCATTGTGACGGGCGCGAATAATTGTCCCTTTCTGTGTCGACCCTCCATGGGCAAATATTCCCTTCACGGGAGGTAACCATTCGACCCTACTCCGTAGGGCCTATTGTAGGCCTACACTGTTTACTCAGCACCACAAAACAGACAGAGTGAGCAACCAGATGGTTATCACAGTGTAGAGGTGGCCAGAAACACTACCATAATGACGAAAATGCTACTTTTACAGCAGGGAAGTTCCACAATGTAATCAGAAAAGTGTTTACGTGTTAACGCATACAGCCGTTATGACAATGTGTAACAGGCATGTAGAATAGTGTAAATACCATTCCTAAACATTTTTAACAAAACAAGTTTCCAAACATTAGATCTTCTAAATGTTCCCTGCACTTGCTCTGGGCACTGTGCATCTTAACATATCCAAACTGCTGTCCTGTCATCCCATTGTTGTCATCTTACATTTTTGTTTTATTATTTTTGCAAATATCAAGGTCTACGCTGTGATATTTCTTCTATTGCTTTTGGGCTAAGGCAGAGTTGGGAGCAGAGTGAGACGACAGATTTGTTCTGGCAGATTGCTTTGTTTACTTTCCTTTCTTTCCCGGAAACACTTTATTTAATCTTCTAAGGTTTAATGCAGGCACAGATTACAGGAGGGCATAACATGCCTAGGAACAGTTGTAGATGGATACGGTGAAGTCAGTGAGAAAACATGCTGTTTTAAGTTATGATTCCCAAAATACACAAGGATGTGTAAACATAAGAAATAAGAAATCAGGTAAATTAACTATAATTTACCCAAGTGTAAATAATTCACGTATCACTGCAGCCATAATTATGATAATTGAGTTCAATGGCCTGTGACTTTCAAAATCATTAAGCTTTTCTCCTACAACTATTCATCATTTGCATTTTATCGTGCATTTTGCAACTACAACAACTTCATTTATGTTATACAACCATGAACTAACATTTGCTATGGCTTTTAGTCAGGGATCAATCCTGCCATTTCCGTCGCTCCCCACCAAATATGGCAGCCCATTTGCGAGTTATCTCCAGGTAGATTGCAGGTTTATTGGGCAGGTAGTCCATATACACAGTCTGACCCGTTTTTGGTATTGCCATTTCAATCTGAGTCCCCTCGTGCCATTCATTAAAAGATGTTATAGCGATGAAATCAGGCCTGGCTTGTAACGCAGCACTCAGAGAGGTCTCGTAGTATTTGCCATTGATGCGGTTTCGAGTGTTTTGGAAGTTCCAGGGTCGAACGCCTGTGTCAATGTACCCGGGGCCCACACTTAAAATGTATATTAAGTTGTTATCTTCACAGAAAGCTTTAAGGGAGTCCCAGTTTCGCTGAGTGGACCCATAGGAAAACCCATTGGTAGCAAAGTAGGTGTAGACACCATCAAAACCAGCAGTAAGGATATCCCTCTTATGTTTCTCCTCGACCAGCAGGGCGATGAAGATGGCGTCATACGGGGTGTCCCTGATGCTGTTACTATCTGTGTGTTTGAGCAGTTTGCCCCACTGCTCAGAGTTCATCAGATATGAGTCATACACATAGATGAGTGGAAGAAGCTTGCCAGTGTTCGTCCGGTACTTGAAGAAGGCAGGGTGATCTCCATATCTGAGAAGAGGAGGCGTGAAATAAAGGGAAGAAATACAAATGTCAAAGGAATAAAATGACTGATAGAAACATTAGAATTATTGATCGAGAAAGATTTCCAGAGGGAGTTTGAGATTATGGTGCTGACATTTGACTGAAAACAGTGAAGAAACACTCACTTGTCAATGATGTATTTGACATTAGTTAACATGTTGACTTCATCTCTTCCTTTGTACGGCTCGATGTGAAACGCTACCTGTACACACAAAAATGACAGAATCACAAAATATTGATGATTTTAGGGAACTACAACAAAATATTAAGTTTGCTGATAACTACAAGCAAAAGGCTACTAAACTCACTACTTTCCTCATACATACCTTAACATGGTATTTATGTGCCACCTCCATCAGCAAAGGCACAATGTCATCCGTTGGTTCACCGTTATCATCGCTCATATTAGGAGGATACCAGGACACAACAAGGACACCTAAGAAAAAACACAGTATAGTGTACATGTACTGCAGTGATATTAAATGAGTCAGAGTAATAAAGATGGGGCAGAAATGATATGTCGACAATCTGTTTAATGGTATCTGTTAATATGGATTAATATGGAATCACAACTCTAAATGTTGGTTTGTTAACTAAATTGTGTGCCATTAACAAAAGAAAACTGAAATGTTATAAAAAACTCAATCAAAGCAGATTTTATAATTATGATGACAAAGTTAAGTTTAATGTCAATCTTACCAATGGCTGCTGTGCGTAGCTGTTGCATATGGGACTCTATGATGGAGGGATCCCTGGAGCTGTAAGCCCCTAAAGAGGGGTAGAAGTTGGCCCCAATGTCTTCAGGTGGGACGTGTCTTGCTTGTGGATAACCCTGAGCTACTTTTAAGTCCCAGTGAGGCAGCTGTGGGTGGTCCCAGTGGATGTATTTGCCATCAAACTTGGGGTTTCCATACCATGTGTAGTAGAAGGCATGGAGATAGTAGTTTGGAGGAGGGAACTTCCTCAGTGCAGCCTCCAGTTTGTCTGACTGAGCGGAGTCAGTCATTTTGCTCTGGACAAGTTTATTGTCATTTTCTCTCTGGATCTGGTTCTCATTCCTTCTCTCCGGGACCGGCTGTTCACCGACAGGGTTGTCGAACGGAGAGTCCTCAGGTGTCAGCGCCTTTAAGACCACTGTTACTATGAGCACGAGCAACACCAAAGCAATTAATGTGATGCAAGATTTGCGCCTAAACCTTGCCATTCTTCAGTCAGTGCTTGAGGCTTTCCACAGTTCATTGTTGAGACAGCAGTGAGGGACTGTAGCTGAACAGGATACCATCAATGCTCTGTCAGTGAGGTAATGTTCAGCCTGGAGGTTTGAGAAAACAATGCATTTAAGTGTGTTACAAAAGGAAATGGCTGCAACTAAAAACTCTTCAACTTTGCCCCTAAAAATATCAGAAAATAAAGAAAAAATACTATCAGAATGTAATTGTTTTTTACGTTAGGCAGCAAAATGCTTACATGTAAGAGGTTGCATCAATCCAATATTTGATTGTTGATTTAAATTGCATAACAGTTGCTTAAAAAAAACTGTGAATTAAAGAGGCACACTGAGCTAACCTAGCTACATTGTTTTAAATGACTACACACAAGCCGGAAGTGCTGTCAGAACGTACAGTATAGTAACACATGTGCTAATTCAGCAAAAGCTTCTTACATACAGTTTAGCGATGCATAAAGACACATTTACTAAACTTACCAGACTTCAACCATACCTATATCGATTAACTTTAGACTTGTCAACAGCAACCTAGAACAACAATGGTGACACAATATTAGCTTGATCCTCCGACAGGACACCACTTCAATTGTTTTCGTAATAAAACTCTATTAATTGAAATAAAACCTCTAGTGTTAAACACTCAACTACAGTCTTCACAGTTCGGACGACTCTTCATTAAATATTTCGTTGTAAGAGATATAAGAGATGCAGAGGACGGGACACAACCTGCACTTCTGGGCTCGGTTGTTTGCAGATCTACAAATGCTTCAGCAGCGCATGCGCAGTGGCAGCGACACATCCATGCTCTATATGAATCTGATGTTAGAGCTGCGTCAACAACAATGAGAGGAGCAGTTTTACTGAATGAGAATTATACGTGTCGCCCCCATTTGTTTGGTGAGGTGTATTACACAATGGAATCATCACTAAAAGGACCAATACATTGTTTTTTATTACTATACAACAATTCTGTTTCGAAAAAAAACATTCCAACTTTATGTTGTAGTTGCAACATTTAAAAACGTGCTCATCTCGACCATTGGGCCCAATCTGTGTACACGGTAAGTCAAGCAAACTACAAATATATCAGAAATAAGGATATTGTTGTTTTGTCATTTGTTAATGTTCGTGTTTTATTTTGTTTTCTTCAGAAAAGTATACCTCATAACATGTATTGGAGTTTTGACACTAATGGAACAGCAATATTCATGTCAATAAGTTGATTTGATCAATCAATAGGTCTGTTTTAATGTGTCTGTTCATAGTATTCCATATTTGCTTGAAACCATGAATATGGAAGAACTAAAGCCAAGAAAGCCATTAGTGTGCAGCAAGAAAATGAGCAGCCCTATCAGACAGCCCTATCGGAGCCAAAGCCTCCAGAGGTTTGGTGACTGCGATGATGTGATGATGGATCCAGTGAAACAACAGGATGTACAGGTTTGGCTAGTCAAGATGTTTGTCCAAAAATGCCCAAAATGAACATATCATAACCAGTTTTTTTTGCAGAAATCTTAAATACATGTTAAATGAATTACTTTCATTTATTTTCTCAGGTCAACTCCACATTCAGCTCACAAACCATCATCTACTACACTCTCCTCTTTCTAAAGATGGGACTGTGGATCTGCTTTGCCTGGGTCATGGCCCACCTCCACCTGGGCCTGCCATGTTTCATCCTGCCAATCATCCTCTGGTTATATTCAGGGCCGATGCACAGTGCTCTGAAATGGGCTAAAAGACGTCTGCGGGGCAACGTTGAATAAACTGAGATAAAAAGTGAAGAATATATCATTTTTGCAATTCCTCAAATTTCTTGCAAGACAGAGCATTCATGCAAATATGAGTGAATTCAGAGGGGACAACAGTTTTAGTTTCCATCAATTTTATTGATTTATAGAGTTTCAAACAAACTTGTACAAATTGCAAAACAGCTTTTGGTAACACTTCATTGTTTTCTTATTATCAGTATTTTGAAATAAATTAAGTGAATATAAAGAAAACAATGAGAATCATGAAACAGAAAAATTCCACAGAAAGCATTTTACCAAAAAGAGCAAACTAAAGATTGAAAAAAGGAAACGGCTAGCCACAAATGGTCGATTTTGCTTCTTTGCAGAAGACTAAAATGAACCTCCTCGCAACATTTTTTCCTGGACATAAAATGGAAAGCCCATCCTGAGCTGTCTGGTTTGAAACTCACTTGTGATTTGTATTGTACTACTGTATGTATACACCAGGTGGCATCACTGTCACATCGCATAACGGCCGATCCTGTCACTCCTGACTCCTCCAGCTTTCAAACTCATTACCAGGACACACTGGGTGATGTGACAGGATAGCTGGCACTTTACTTACTACAGTTTCAAGAACAAACTTCCCTCATTATGTTTTTGATGTTGTGTACTCTACACCCACAGCCCTAAACAATTCAAACACTGTAGAGCATTTTGTGAAGCTGGCTTTTTATTCAAGTGCTGTTAGATGTTTTCTATCCTTAACTTCATACAAATACACTTTTAGTACACCATTTATCCAGTATGTCAACAGGTAAGATACTGACTACAAGTCACACATATTTAAATGCATGGACATGAAAAAAAACTCTCAGCATCTTTCATCAAATATCAAGAGGACTTCAGGAACATAATCATAAACAAATAATAATTAGACCCATGTCAATAGCAGCTCTTTGTGAGGAGAGGCGTGTTTTTGTGTGGGTGTGGAGTCGAGGCACAGGGAGGCATAGCAGAGCAGAGGAATGGATGCCCAGAGGGCGTTGTGTTTGGGGAGAGCGGGTCCACTGCCAGCAGCATCCGATTTACCCTCTATCCTTCATTCAAGCCGGTCTCTTCACATTCCTTGCTACTCCTAGGGAGGTGCACTTTTTCAATGGTTAATTATATAAAATGTTCGCTTGCACAACAACCGCAAGTTCACCGCAAACGCAGTAATAATGTTTCAAACAGTTAAACCGGAATATAAGAAATGTTATCGTGTCTAAGGACCTCAGTCTCATTGTAACACATTGGAAGGATTTTCTCTGCTTTCAGAGGTCAAGGCAAAAACAACAACAATGTTCAATCTCTACTGTGTTTTTGTCAAACTCAAAAAGACTTCCTCTAACTCAATCACTCTGTCCCTCTTCGCAGAGACAACACAGAACCTCAGAAAACTTTAAATAGCATTGGAAGTAAAACCACAAACTCTGTTAATAATATCAAAAATACCAACAAACAGGCAAAAAAAAAGAGATTGGTCACAGCAAATGTATGTACACATACACATTAAGAAAAGAGCTGTCAGTGGATTTTGGGAAGGTTGTGTGAGTGGGGGAAGAAAGAGGAGAAAGATTTGGGCAATTAGATAAGCCCTGTATCTTCGCTATACAGGGGAGTTACAGGGGTCGCCATGATGGCAGACCAGGGACGGAGCGGGTGAGAGATCAGGCGGTGCGTTCACCTCTTCTTAGGGGCTTGGGCGGTGCGGGGTGGGGTGACGGGACGACCAGAATTTACACCACCGTACTGATACTTGGCCTTCTTCTCCGAGGGCTTTAGGATCTTTAAAAAAACAGAGAGAGAAAATGTGAGTGTTTCTGAGATGAAGTTTAGTTTAAATATCAAAAAGGTGTTATAATGGTTTGTTAGAATACCTGGAAGGAGCACATGAGGGATTCATCCACACTCATCATGCCGCCTGCATTGTCGAACTCCCCGCAGTAGTTTGGAGCGGAGAAGAGTGTGACCAGTTGGCGTTTGGCAAAGAACTCATAGCCATCCTCCACAACCTGTTAGAAGACACGGGACATTATTCCACCGCCTACAGCGATCGATAAACACACACAGAACCAGCTGATTTCAGAAACCTACTCTGCTATAATTGTCATGTGTCCACAACCACCTACATCTGAATCATTACAAAGCACCCAACGCAGAGCCAAAACAGCCAATGTATACATTCTACTTTTGAAAACAAATTGTTTTGGGTCAATAAAACACAACCCCTCCTTCATGAGTTCGAGTTGCTCCCTTTAAATGAAATAGAAGAAGGTAGGCTGTACATGTACACCATGGATATAAATGAAAGGACTGTTTTACAATTGAGAAATATGTCCTGTTTCATGTGAAGCTTTTATCTTGAGCACATGTTTTTGTGTTCATTTTGTTCCTGGGTGACACCATAGATACTATTCTGTTGTATTCTTAATAAACATGTTGCCAGTGTCTTGCAAACAGCAGGTTCTTATTCTCTGTTCTATCTTGGTTCAGCAAAAAAGTTGATTGACAATAACTGAGTGCAAAATGAAGTAATAATGAATGATTCATGGGGGAGAAATACACTGGGCTAGACTGCTGTAGCAGGCCTATTAATAATGTGGTTTAGCTTGTGTTTCCTCCACAGTATTTACTTGTTCCAAAGACACACACACACTAATGGAAGTCCACTATAAGTAAAGTGCATGGCCAAACTGTTTTAAGTCTCCAAGTTTGCTTGCCATGCACTTTTAATTTATACCATCCAACTCCCTTCATAATTACCTGGTGGGCTCTGCAGATGAGGTCCAGGTCGTGGCGGTTCAGGAACTTGCTGACCACATCTGCTCCGAAGGTGAAGGAGACCCCGCGGTCGTTCTCTCCCCAGCCCTGTACATCCTTATCTGGGTCCGACCACAAGAGGTCACACAGTAGGCCTGAGACACACATGAGAGGAAAGAGAGACATAATTAGGTAAGAGTCGAAAGGAGAGGAAGAAGTGGCTTTAGATCCGACTGATGCAGGACAGAATATCTACTGATGTGACAAACATTCATTCAAGAAAACGTATACCAAGTATGAGCATGTACTTAAGTAAAGTGGACATATCATGCTATATTTGAACAATATATTGTAGGGCCATACCTATATAAAGTATATAAATATAGTTTTTTTTTCAAAATACCAAAAAGATCCTGCATTTTAGCCATGCCTCATTTCGCTCCATTTGCTCTTTCCAGCGCTGTTTTTGCAGGGGGCTGATTCTGTGAGCTGCAGCTGACCACAGTGCTCTGAGATCAGCTGCTAGGCTGCAGCGGGGAGAAAAAGAGATCTTCGTCCACCGTGTTTTATTCTTATAGAAGTAAGAAGAGAAGTAACGGGGCAGAAACCCTCCTTTTTACGCAGCGGTCCAGACATAGACATCAAACGGCGACACATATTCAGTTGCCAGTTACTTTTGCATTAGGGCAGGGATATCTAGATACTTTCCAAGGTTTGACATCATGAATTGTGCTACTTTTAAAGCAAGGAGCGATGTTTTCAAATCTGTAATCAAAAAGCTCCTCAAAAACACTATCGAAGCAGTTCCTGCCGTTGTTACGTTAGTTCAAACCGTAACAACGGACTATTTTTCTTAGCGGATGCATGTCAATTTAAATCAATACATACAACTATTTTTTAAATCAATAAAAGCATTTTCAAAATCCATAAAACTATTTCAATTAATATTGGGAGTCATGTCGTGACTTTGTCGAGAATGTGGCCATGTAATAAGTGGGATAATGTGCACATTGCATAATGTGCCTTCATGCCGATCTAGATCCCTCCGCTTCGCGTCGGGCTCCTGATCAGCCTGTCGGTGTTCTTTTCCCCATAATGACCGCGTCGCTGCACATTATCCCTTACATATGATTATATAGAGTCATTATTCATTTGTTTTAAAGCAGGAGGTGCAAAAGCTTGCCTCGGGGAGGGAGAAAAAGAGCCACAGCGGAGAATAAACA